TAAATCAACTATTATGTATGAATGCAAAATGAACGGAGAGCGATGAATACAGACAAATAACAAGCATCATCTTTCCTTCAGAGGCATGACGACACGAATGCCTAGATGGCATATCGTTATTACATCAAATTTTCAAGTCTTGACCACTGAACTAACGCAATTGATACTATTTTGCACTTTCACATGTCAACCATCCAGCAGAGCATGATTCATCAGTCCTTTTCACCCAGTAGTCATCAATGGCAGCAGTCCAGATGATATACGATACGATGGAAACTAATTTTCAAGATTAATATGGACGAGGCCCCAAATGTTTAGATTCGAGGTTTGATCAGGGTATTCTTCTCCTTCGTAGAATTGCCTCAAAGGTATAATGAGCTCTCTACGTCGCTTTATTATCTAACCAGTGTTGGTCTCTGTATGATGCTTGAGACAGGAGTGCTGCAAATAAGTTGTAAAAGGCTGAACTGAAGTAGGTACAAGACTTTTTGTTTATTTTAAACTTACACGGAGGCTCGACTCCAAGGTTCAGCGATGCCAGGTCTGTCATGTAGCTTTGAAAGGTACTCGACCTCGTAGGCCTTTTCTGTGGCACCTTGATCCCATATCCAAACCGAGATTAACACATGATTCACTTTATCACTAACCTACCCTAAATCCAAAAAACTTTCTCAATTAATTGCACAAATCTATTGTTCTTTCGTGTTCAAAGCCAAAATTCCTGTTGCGTCAAGTGTCTGGGTAGCTGCTTCAGGAGGCTTTTCTGATTGTTCAGATTCTCCAGTGTTCAGGCTGCATGTATTTACATACATGGGTACCGACATATCGATGATATAATTACTCTTAGGGTTTAATTATGAAGCAAAGGGAAGTTTTAAACTGCCAAGTACCAACTTCTTTTTAAATTCCCCCTAAAACTTGTTTCCGAGATTTTTTATTTGCTAACTGTGTGCAACATAACTTATCATTTTATGCCAGGATGGATTTATTTGTTTATTTGAAAGGCACTACTTTAGGTGGTCGTTGCAACGTATAGTTTTGCGCTTTCGTTTCATATAGTGGAGGTAATTTATTTACTTCGAGTGAGTGAAAAATGAATAAACCGTAGTGAATTAAATCCGCAATATTTCGATGGAGAGTGAAACGCTTTACGAACTACGCTGTTTTGCTGTCTTCATTACTTTGTTAATTTTTTGATATCCTCGAAGTCAGTGATCTTACTGCATCCTTGACTCAGGATTAATATCTTACTAACACACGGCAATTCTTCTTCGATGCAAAGTTAATTTTTATTCAGCTCATATTCAACTCTGTTTCATACTCTGGCTCTCCCTGATGAGGGATTGAGCATGATCCGAAAAGTCAAAGAATATTTTTATATGACATTCGATATGGGGTGCCATCCCGTGCAAGAATTTCATCCTCTTCATCTTCATCTTCATCTTCCATGACCGCTTTCCCTTTGGGTCGTGAAGGCGTATGCGTCAGACAGTGTTTCCAATGTTCCCGATCCTGTGGCAGAGTCTGAGCTTCGACTAAAGACAACTGGAGTCTGGAACAGACTCCTTCTACACATTTACGCCAGGTTAATCTTGACCGTCCCCTGGGTCTTCTGCCGGTGGGTCTCGCCAAAAAGAGTTGCTAAGCCTTGCTTTCTGGAGGCATTATATATTATATACGCACTGGCTGATATCCCTCCCAACATAATGATAAAAGAGACCAGTTAAATGAGTGACAAATATTTGAAAGAGTGTTTAGAGGCTACAGCATTAAGAATTTGATGTCAATTTTGCGCATTATGATGACGGACACAATTTTAAAATTTCGAACAGCATTTATCCCCAAACCTATGGCTTTAATATGGGCTCTCCAGTGAGGATTGCTTTAACTTATCTTCATCTGGATTACCTGGAGGAAAGGCCTTAAGCAGTGCCTTGCGGGATTCTTGCCGTTGTTTTATGTAACTTTTGTGGATGACTTCTTCATTCTATCCCAAAGTAAGAACAGTGTGCTGGATCGTTGCAGAAAGGTTTTTTCAAGCTATATCAACGGAAGGATATGAACGATTGAATACGGCTTACTATAGAGGCCCAGGTGAATCAGAATATACAATTCTTAGGTGTGCTGGTGAAGAGGGTTACAATTGCTTCTGTTGTTGAAAACGGATTCATCGAACAGATACTTAAATTCAAAGTCTTGTGCTCCACCTGTTCTTTGTAAGAAACATCTGACGAACAAACATTTATACGTATCAAAAGCATGCAACCCTGCTTTCGCCCCTGAGACCGAAATTCGACATGCTTAATACGCATTCTTGAGGAATGGATAATGAAGGAAGACACTGGACAGCGAACTACTGCACCCCAGCTGTGGGAGTACAGGCATATTGTGATTCTGCTGTACATGCTCCAGGTGTCCGAGCGAATCAGAAGATACTTTCGCAATATTGGATTCATAGTTTACTACAAGAATGGCATGAGTTTACGGTTGCTTTCGTTAACGAAATATGATCAGAGGAACCGCAACCAGAGGAAGCGTTGATGAACACTATGTACAGCGTCGAGTTTTGCGACGCAATAAGATATACGTTTGAAAGACCAATGGGACATTGAATATTCGGATTAAAGAAAACTTGCCTAAAGTCCGCTTAGAGTATGTGGTCACTCTGGCACTGCGGGATACTTCTTCACTCAAACGAATGTCTGTAATCGACAAATACTCTTATAGCCGGATGTGTTGACCAAAGTTCCTCAAATGATGAATAACATCGTATGTGAAACGAGTACTCTTCTTCCGTGGTGATGAGTGAGTGTTGGGGCACTTAGTAAAAATTTGGACACATGGAATGAGTTTCAGAGATTAAACTATAAAGCTTAAATTTGTTAATGTGATGGTTTGCATCTAGCGTCAATCGCCCGTCACTTTATATCGAAGCGTTTTGCTCATAAAAGGCGGTTAGCCACTGATAATCATTTGTTTTGAAGATGCCACGAAGTATGCAGCGAAACAAGTTTGTAAAATATTAATATCTGTGTATTTGTACCTTCAACTACGAATCCACAATGCATCTGAAAAATATCATCCTCATTTTAATTTATTTGTGCCTTAAACCACAGATAGAAAAATAACGATGATATAATAATATATAATATTATCAAACAGTACACGCTACATGGTTTATGCGCTTGAGCAGCAAACTATATGGCATCATTTAATCTTAAAAGATTATATATTGAATAAATCTGGTGAATTACGACCTCATTTTCTACCTTAAGTTTCGTTCAAGTGTCATTACAGAAAAAGTTTTTCAAAACTGGAATACACCTAGTGTTGCACTTTGTTCTGATTTCCAGATCACTGCCTAGTGAATGAATGCAGCGTTGACGAATGAGGCTGATGCTCAACCTTTCGACGTTAAGACTATCGACGCGCTTTCTGGCTATCCAGCTTTATTGATTACTTCATTGGAATCGATGAAGCAGCCGAAATGGATGGCTAGGGTGTTCCTTTCGGCTGTTCTTGGTTTGGTTTCGGAGCTACGACTCGATTAATCACTCGGTTCAAATGACACCTGCCACAAAAGCATCGTTAATGTCGTAGGGGCGTGACAGTTTTCTTTCACGGCCAACATATCGCATGCAGAGGTTTCGTATGTTCGTTCCTACAGAACGTCTCTAAGTTAATCTGAGGTTGGGCAGGTGCATGTCAGTCATGCTGTGATGAGTGAAAACGGTCACGAGCTAACCATCAGCCTCATAAACGATAAATGAATTTTGTATTCCTAGACTCCGTGACTCACTCGCTGAACAGCACTCAGCATTGATCGATGTGAAAATGTGTGTAAACGCCTGCAATGCCTGTTCATCCAAATGCCAATTCCATTTAGCCATTTTTGTGCCTCATTTCTAGTAGCTGTCTTACTACTGTTTGGCTATTTGCAACTTGACAGTAAGATGAACCCTTTTTCTCTCTCACAACAGACGTTGAAGTCTCTGGGGGGCAGCATTTACGTACAATTAATGGATATGCGGTGAGCGTGCCAATGCATACAGTCGGCTTTTCTTTTTAACTTGCATCACGAGTTTCCATGTATCGACTTCAAATTATGGATTTTCTGTCCAAATCAACAGCATTTATCGACATGTCTATGCGTCGGTTGGAGGAACGCTGGCGCAAATTTCCCTTACGGATGCAAAAATTCGATATTTTCATACATGTGACGTAATAATATTTTGTTTTAAAAGAATATTCCACGTTAATGTTTGCCGAGAGATTGAGCTGCAATGCCTGTTCAGTCCCCGGGTCGCCATATTAAAAGACAG